CAGGAGGCGCGGGCCTGATCAGCAGATGCAAGGCCGGCACCTCCTGAGGAGCAGGCTCCTCTGTAAGAAGAAGCCTTCCCCCCCCCCCCCCCTCGTGCGCGCCGCCAACTGAATGCATGTCCACGACTCCCGGGCCAGATCCATCCTGAACCCAACAGCGGGCTATACGCCGCCACGCTCTCCTGGCTTCGCAACGAGGGCGTAGAGACTGGGCACGGGGAAGGGCCAGGCCGGGGGAGCACTGGACATGTGTAGATTCCGTCGCCCGACTTACACTTCGAGCCTCGAGGAATCCTCGAGCCTCGAGGAATCCTCGAGCCTCGAGGGATCCTCGATCCTCGACGAGGATCGAGGTTCAAGCCTCGAGGTTCGAGCATCGAGGTGCGAGCCTCCAGCCTCAAGGACGCCGAGGTTCGAGGCCTCTTGGCCTTCTTAGGGGCCCTCCTCGCCGCCACGGCCGGACGCAGCTCGGGACGCTGGTGGCCCCGGGAGGGGTCTGAGAACCCACCGTGCGCGCATTTTGGCCCCCTAAAACGACGCGAAGATCGGGACAAAATCGGATCGGGATAACTCGAAATCTCTGAGAATCGGCGGGTGTGGAGGATGTATTGGGCGCCGCGGCCGCTCCAGAGCGTTCCGGAACGCTCTGAGAGCGCTCTGGAACGCTCTGGAGCGATTTATCCCGATCCTAGCCCTGTTTTACCCCCCCCCCAGGTCGAGCCGGGAGGCATCCTGAAGATCTAGAGGACAACTTCTGCGTGGTCTTCGCCAGAACGACTAAGGGCTGGTAAATCCGTTAAGGGGCGATGAAGCCAGATTCGGCTGGATGGGGTTAAAAAGGATCAAGCCCGTTTAGGAGGGAATAAGCGAGATTCAACCAGAATAGGCCGGTCTTCGCCCATGTATGTACCACCGCCGATTTGGACTGTATCCTCGCAGGAGTTGCATCCTCAAGCTGGGGCCCGATACGGTCGGTCGCGCGCGCTTCGTACGCGCATAGGTTCCAGTGAGCCTCGGTTTTCAAGGGCGAAGTCCACGACAGTTTCGATGAAACGAAATTGTTCGAATCACACACGCGCGTGCACGCATGCGTGTGTATAAGCACATGTGCATTCGAACCCACGCGTACTCACGCTTCGGGGGCAAACTGTGGGGGCCACAGGGAGGCGCCACGCATGGGAGGTTGCGGGGGCTGCAATCGGGGGCCATGTTTGGGAGCACGCACCACCCTGCCTCCCTCCCTCCTCCCTCCTCCCTCTTCTCTCCTCCCTCCTCCCTCCTCCCTCCTCCCTCCTCCATCCCTCCTCCCTCCTCCCTCCTCCGTCCTCCCTCCTCCCTCCTCCCTCCTCCCTCCTCCCTCCCTCCCTCCTCCTCCCTCCTCCCTCCTCCCTCCTCCCTCCTCCCTCCTCCCTCCTCCCTCCTCCCTCCTCCCTCCTCCCTCCTACCTTCTCCCTCCTCCCTCCTCCCTCCTCCCTCACTCTTATGCGCAAGCGCGGAGTGCGATGCACGATTTACCACGGCAGTAGCGTTGTCGCCTTCGCTCCGTCTGGGCACCAGAAGCTTCCATCGCCCGCGGGCGCCCGACGGAGGCCCGAGAGGAACCCCACGGGGCCCCAACCGACCCTGAGAGAAACCTGAGACCGCCTCGTCGATTTGAAGGGGCCCAGGGACACACACAAATGAATCCACACACAAACAAAAAAATTCCCTATATTTTCTCATAGGTTCTGGGCTTCTGTCTTCCCCACCACTCCCCATATTGTGCCATAGCTTCTGGGGCATCGACGATTCATTGTGTCTGTGTGTTTTTTCCCCTCCTGGCAAAACTACCCGGCAGGCCTTCCGGAGCGGTTTTTGGGGGACCGGCGCCTGGGCGGAGAGCGCCAGAGTCCAGGCCGATGATGCGGCGGGCGCTCGAGCGAGAGAGCTCCATGTCTGAGCTGGAGTGCGGCCAACAGTCGGGGAGACGTAAGACCTGGGTACGGGGGACTCGGAAATCCCCGACGAGGTCGTCAAAAAAATGACGAGGCCGAGCCTGCATTTTGACGAGGCCTCCCGCTGCAGACATCCCACAAAACTCCTCCTCGTCAAAATTCGAATCGCGGTCGTCAAAAAACGATGGCGAACCCGAGTCCTGGCAAACCCGGGTCTTACGCTCCCCCGAAACAGCCAGGCGGGCACAGGAATGGAGCCCACGCAACCGCAGGAACGCCAGCTCGGGCCAGGGATGTGGCTCGCGCCGGAGCGGGGGAGCACTTCCTCCTGCGTTCCCCCTCGAGCTGGGAGCACGGCCGAGGCGAGAAGGAGAGCCACACTTCCAGGCCGTGGCTTCGCACAAGTAGCGAAACAGCTGCCTTGAGCACATTAAGTAATACTGCTGCCGGTGCGTTGGGGGTGTACTATCCAGAGGTACCATTGTGGCTGGCGCCAAAGCGGGTGCACCATTCCGACCTCGGAATGAATCCGCCGGCGAGGCGAGAACATCACGCCGGCTCACGGATGTGACCAGCGATGTCGGGGCCCCAAGAAAGCGAAGCACCACACCACCGAAAGCAGGAAACTCAAGGCGCACAACATCGTGAATCATAAACAAAACTCTTGGCTCAAGGACTCACTGATTTGCGAACTGTTCACGCACTGCGGGGACTGCCGAACTCAACACGAACAAACTGGCTGAAACGTCATTGTAGCCTCAAGCTTCTGTCTTGTAACCCCGCGTTTCGTGCAACTCGCGCAGAGTCCGTTCATCCCTTGCTGGACGTCCCAAATCGATCTGGGGCGACAGAAGATGTAGTCCTCGGCATTAGGTCGGGAACTCAGATTGCTTTCAGATGGGCGCGCCCTTGGGTATCCAGGATCAACATGTTTGTTTCGCATTCGGCTGTAGGCATGCTGCAGGGAGGTGGGGTCGAGAACTCGGGTCGTGGTTGCCGCGTCGGAGCTCAGGGTGCAGGCCCGGCTGGCTAAGCCTGGAAGGCGCACAACCAACTCTTTGGAGCGTATCTGTGAACTCAATATTGGACGCTATCATGGAACCGCATCGGCACCGCTGGGATCGGAACCTGGGAACGTCGACGGCGAATAGGGTGTCCGACGCCCGGTGTCGCACCCCAAAGAAAGTTGAGATGTGCCCGAGTCCGAATCGATATTGCCGGGAGCCTCTCCAGAACATCGCGTAGGACGTGTCCTTGAGGCCCCTGTGGCGCTCATCGGGATCTCGACGAAGGCCTCTAGCTCGGAAGCGATGTCCCCGGAAACCGCTCTGGGCACGTTGTTTACGATGTAGACGCGTGGCCTCTGAGAGACTTCGGGGGGCCTGTTGGGAAGCCTCACGAGCCTACTGGTAGCTGTTGGGGGACCTCTGTGACGCGTACTGGTGTCTGGAGGGCAGCCTCGAGGTCCGATTCAATTCAATATCCCCGGAAACCTCTCTGGGAATATTGTGTAGGATGTGGACAAGAGCCTCTGGTAGCCGTCGTCGCCCGCCCTCACAAGGAGGACGCCAGCTACCCAGTCGTCCAAGGATGCAATTGTTTCAATCGTGGTGTTCCTCCTTTCGTTCGGCGTCAGGGAGGTCGTCTTTGGGCCCCAGGGCCATCAGCTTGGGATGCGGATCGAAAAATTGCCCCAGCAAGGGAAGGGCTCGAGACTTCTGGGGCCGCGGATTGAAAAATCACATCGTCGGACGCCAGCTTTGCACCAGCTTTGCAAGTAATTACCCAGACCTCCTCGCGCCGTGGAAGAAATCACCGCGGACCAACATGTCCTGCCCATGGGGGGCCAAAACCTGACCCCGGGACCGTCAGACGACTGCTCAGAATGAGAAGCTGGTCCTGGGGAAGGCGTCGAGACCATCGATGGCCCACGCTGCAGAAAAGTAGTGAGAAAAAGCACGGCCAAAAAAAAACGACGCCGGGTGTATGGGTATGCACCTGCGCGGGTCCTGGCCAGGACCATCCTGGGCCCAGGCTCTGTGCGCACGCCCCTCCGGCTCGGCCATGCAGGCGTGCACCGCCGGCCCCGGGCCCAGGACCGGCCCGGCCCACGCTCGGTTGGCGACCCCCGACCTCAGGCGCATGGCGGCGAGGAGGACTTCGGAGGCCTTCCAGCTGGCTCCAGCACTGGAATCGGGCGCCGACTCCGTCGGAGCAGGCCGGTGCGTGGGGAGCCCCTGCGGGCTCGCACCACGGGGTCACTCTGGCGAAGAGCCACTCTGATCCGTAGCCGAGCAGGCCGTTGCGGCGGCGGCGCGGCCGCTGCGTCGCGGCCCGGGGCCGGGGCGGCCGAGGACTCGAGCACGAAACTGCCTGCTCCAGGAGGGGAGGGGCAAGGGGCGAGCGACACCGGAGGCCGTGGCAGCGAGAGTGAAGCTGGCGTGAGGCCACTGAACATGCCTCGGTCTGTCTCGCTTCCCCGCTTTTATACACATGAATATATATATATATATATATATATATATATATATATATATATATATATATATAATATGTGTATATATATATATAATATATATATATCGAGATATGTTTGGGGTGTCTCTCTCTCTCTCTCTCTCGTTTGTTATGTTTTGTTGTTCTCTCTCTCTCTCTCCCATCCTTCTCTCCTTCCCTCCCTTCTTCCCTCTTTTTCGCTCTCTCACACTATGGTGTGTGTTGCTGTTTCTCTCTCTATCTCTCTCTCTCTCTCTTTCTCTCTGTTTCTCTTTCTCTCTTTGTGTTTCTTTACACCTCCGTCTACATATGCACAATTGTATCGCAATTAGTTGTCTCTGAGTATTGTGTTTTGTCTCTCTCACCCTCTCTATCTCTCTTTTCCTATATAGGTGTTTATCCCTTTTATGCATGTTTCTCCCATCCCTATGTCCTTACCTCCCTCCTTCTCTCTTCATGTATCTCTCTCTCTCTCTTGTGTTGTCCTTCTTCTCTCTGTAAATGTGATATCTATATATATATATGGATATATCGTCGTGTGTGTAAGTATGTGTTGCTCTCTCTCTCTCTGTCTATAAACATGTATGAATAGATGTGTGTGTGTGTCTGTGTAAGTATATGCACTAGAAACATCGCGCGCTTCGCGCGCGCTCAAGTTCTAGCTAGGTTTGATGGGCGAACACATAAAATATCATCATTGTTGTTTCTTGCATCCGGGGGCTCTCTTGGAGGGCCTGCGCCAGCCTCGGAATCGCGAAGAAGGGGAACTGCGGAAACGCAAACATCAGCCGACCCCTTGAGGGTCTCTAGGCGTGTGAGATTATCCCCCCCCCCATAATCCCCCCCCCAGGGACCCCAAACCAGCAATTTGACCCCCCCCTCTGGCCCGGCCCGACCACCGACTGAACGCGCCATGGGGGAGCGGAGGGCTCCAAAACGGGCCAAGGAGGCATCAAAACGCTCCCCAGACGGTCCCAGAGGGCCACGAGTCGCCGAAATATCGCTCCTCCAACGAGGGTCCCAAGAAACAAAAAACGTCCCATTCCCGTGAAAAAAAAAAACTGCATGTTTTACATACTCGCCTTTTCGGCTTTCACAACGTCCAAGACAAGCAAAGAAACCTTCAATATCGCCCCCGGACGGCCGAAGGGGCCCCGAAGAGGGGTCGAAGAGGGTCCAAAAACAGCCCACGAAGCCCCCGAGACAGCCCAAGAGGGCCCCCAGACGGCAGCCGTCGGTCCCAAGACGCCCCCAGCCTGTCCCAAGAACACCCCGAGAGGCCCTAAGGGACCCGCAAGAGAACCTCAAAGGTCTCCAAAAGGCCCCCAGGAAGCCCAGAGGCCCCAAAACTTGGCCCAAAATGCCTCGAGGCGGTCGGAGATGGCCTGCAGACAGGCCAAGATGCCACCAAAAGGCAACAAAAGAGCACCAAGAGGTACGATAACAGCAACGAAGCAACAGGAACGATGTCGAGCGCCGTGACATGATTCGGACAAGCCTCGTGAAATGCAGTCCTGGAGGCGCAATGGTTTACATAGGGGTCGGCGGATGTGGCGTAAGCCTATAGGATCATTAATTGCCGTTAGGTAATCAAGGGTTTGGGGCCCTCGAAAGCTTCCTGGGTTCATTTCTGGGCCTTCATTGTGGTCTGTTGTGCAAGAGTAGACAAGGGGGAGGACTTGGGACAAAAAAGCGGTGTGGTGGGACTCCCGTTGTTTTCAAGGTGCCTGGTCTGTGGGCCAGACGGTTTCTGCATGCAGGCCACGGTCTGTTGGGATGCCTCTCGGGGACTTCGTGCAAAAACAAACAGGGGGTGATATTGAAAAAGGAACTCTAAAGTTCCACTGATTCATTTTATAGGATCATGGGATCACGACTTCTACAGTAGTTTCAGAGGCAGCCAAGAGGGCACGAAGACGATCCAAGAGAATGCCAAGACAGCGTCAGAGAGCCCAACTGCACTCCCGAAACAATTTTGCATGTGACCCCGAAGTCTTGATGGGGCTCGAGAGGATAGGGAGTAGGGGCCCCAACATAAAAAAGTGAATATATTCAATTCCCTTTTTGTCCCAAATTCCTCGGTCTTGGAGCGTTGGAAGCCGCAAAACGTGAGAAGGCGAAAAGCGTCGACAAAAACCACTGGGAAGCAACAGCTGTACCCTCTTCGGGCTCTCTCGGGACGGCTCCCGAAGCTCTCTTGGGCTGTTGTGGGGGCCTCGTCGGACGGAGATTTTTTGAGAGCCTCTCAGGGGTCTGGGGTGTGTCAGGGGCCTCTGGAGAGTCCTCTCGGAGGTCTCTGGCGGCCTCCTGTTCCCGCTCTTGAGCTCATCTTGGGCCTGTTCTGGGGTGGTCTGGAGCTGTCCTGGGCGCCTCTTCGGCAGTCTTGGGGCCGTCTTGACCCGTCTTATTTTTGATTCAAAAAAATGTGGTATAGAGACTACCTCGTTGTAGCCGAGACGCCATAACTCTTCTGTGCGTTCCGTTGCACATTCTCATACGAGTTTCCCAGCTAATGGCTGTACTATGTCACTGTGTGACATGCCACAACACCGGTTTGTTTTTTGAGTGGATACTGGCGGGCGCAACCCTCCTAGCTAATTATCTCCAATGAGGCGCACCACTAGATACCCCGGAGTCGACACGCACCTGCGCGCACCATACCTTTTCAGCGGCGCTCTCGCGCAGGTTCGTGCCTTAGTATTTGGCCGACACCGCGAATCAACTGCGATCCGCTTGCCGACGTGTGCATCAAGTACGTCAATTGCCCGCGCAATCAGCACATTCGCCAACATCGACAGAGTGTCGAATGTCAGCAACGCCGTAAATTGCGTGTCTATGAGAAACTGCGACAGTACATAGTACACAACCGTGTGCACTGTAGTGTTGGCAAGAGCTGACTGGCCTAGGCCTGGGAACTTGTTGATATACAGCTCTCCAAAGAACCAGGCCATCGCCGCGTCAGCTCGGAAGAACGGGCATAACCTTCCGAACTCGTTCATCCGTGAAACATTCACCACATCATACAGCGCGATCATTGCTACTCTGAAGAATTCAGAGCCTCCGTACTGCTGGAAGTCGAAGCTTCTCGCGCTCGGCCACAGCCAGCAGCGCCGACTTTACAGTCGCGACTCTGCCCAGTCGTGCAGTGACCCCCAGAGCGTAGCAATGGCCCCACTTCCTGCACGCCACTTCCACAGCTTTGGTCGAATCCTGCTTCAGCAAGATAAGCACGCGGCGCTGCAGTGAATCCTCTAGGCGCGCGGTGAGGCTCGAGAGCACGTTTCCGTAAGCCGACAAATCCCTGACCATGCACTCGCGCTCCATGCAATCAGCCCACTGCCCCCTCGGCGAGCGCGCGCAGTATGCTTCCAACCGCTTCAGGCCCCCATTACGAGCCCTACTCTTGTGAAACCGCTCCGCCGTGCGCTTATCTAACGCCTTCGCCGCCTTGTAAGGCGCTGCAGTCGCCCGCGGCGCAGCCTTCTTCCACGCCGCGAAAAGTGCAGCACCACAGTCTTGGCCGTGCTCCATGGTCTGCAGCTTTTCAATTATATCACACCAAACATGCAGCTCCTCAACCCAGACGAAGTCCATTGCGTTGTCGACTGCCGCCAACGACGACTTCATCGCGAGGCAGCCCCAACAGGTTATTCTCCAGCAGAGCCTCTTCGTCCAATCGCTCCTTCGCCGCCGTCTTCAAGCTCCTATAGCCCGCGCTCACCGATGCGCAGTACTGCTTGAAATCGCCAGACATGCATCTGCCGACACCGCGGGCTACATCCATCGAAGCACGCGCGCGGCTCGGTCTGTATGGAGCCGTCGGCATGCCAAGCGTTATATGCAGATCTGCTGTGTGCTTCGCCATTAGTGAATCAAACCCGTCCTCGGACAATGATCCTCCAATACCAAGCCAGTCATCCTCCAGGCCAGCGTCCGCTCCATTGAGCGCCTTATCTGCATTCAACCACAGCCTGGCAAGTTGTGACACTGCGACCACACCTCTGCGCTGGCGGTCGCCACTTTTCCTATCTTTGATCACCTCGCGAGCCTTGCCGCCCAGCTTACCTTCTACGCTGTAGTAGTCCAGCAGCACACGTCCCCAGTAGTCGAGAACCACAGAGTATAGCCATTCCGTGAAGCCTTCAGGTGCGCTGCGCCGCTTCATCAGTTCCATCATCTCCGCTTCTGCTATAGCTATCTCGATCGGGTCCCGTTGGGTCGACGCTTGCCAGCTCGAGACAACGAACATCGCGATGCTCCTCAGCACGCAACCACTCACCTCCAACTTCTCGTCGGTGAAGCAGCGCAAATGCTCGCCCCAGCCTCGACCTATGATGATCTTTGCATCCTGGCCACGATGTCCGCAAAACCTGGCCAACCTGTTTATCACAATGGCATCGCTTAGCGCATGCTCATGCTCCAGAAGCGATTGCCATATATCATCCCCATTGTCATCCTCATAGTTGACTGGGTCATACCCGAACAGTCGCTGGAAGGTCATACGTAGTGAGTGATTCCCACCACTGTTTTGTCTGTCGTTCTCATACGTTGTCTGCCTTCCGCCTGAATTGAGCCCTTGCGCGATGTGCACCATCTCCCTGCCGGTCTTCATCATATCACGCACATCTTCCTGGAGTTCATGCAGGAA